CAGATAAAGTCGTGTCTTATTTATACTCTGTTCTACTGACAACAGGCCAGCGAAAAATCTAACAATCTACAGCAAAACCATCAATTATTATGGGCGTTATAACATAGGTGTGCAGCTGAACGAAACATACACGTCGAACCCCCCCAGACGATTTAAATCCCTGACGAAACATACACGACGAACCACGGCAACGGGTTAAGGGATACCTCACGTGGAGGCCATGCCCATCCAACTGTAACCCTGTATCAGTGCACAAACTACTCAACACATTTTCTTCCAAACTGACACCGAAGACTTTTATCAAAGCTGCCAGGCTGTTCTGTTTCATGTAAGGTCATAAACATTTTTATGCACATCATAAACTGTGGACTAAACTTCGGTGAAATTTGATACCAGAGATCTCTGCATCAACATCAGTTAACTTGTCATACTGACCAGTTACAAAGCCTACTGTACACAAAGTCAACCAACATACTCTATGTTTTTCTGAAATTCCATTTATAAGGACCCCACAAGCAGGTTTAATAAACTGCAAATGCCACTGGGAATTCTGTATACTGCAGTATGAAGTACACCCTTTCAAATTTTGTTTAACAGTTCTTTCCATGATGGTTCTGAACTGTGAAGTATACCTACAGTAACATCTTCGTGCTCTGGAAGCTTCCTCTTGCGAATGATGCGCTTGCCAGCCATGGTCACCTCCACCTGCACGTCTCCCTCAGCCTCCTTCACTTGCTCCAGGGCAAGATCCTCCTCTACTTCATCTCCAGTCAGACCAAAATCATAGTTCTCAGCAGCTCTACTTGTCAGGTGGCGCTGATAAATCTGAACATGTTACAAAACAAAGGTCAATATCTTTGTGTCTGTGTGCTATATCACTGCATTTCATGAATACCAGCAGAGGACTGATACCTCAATTTAAATTTAAATTTTTAAATTTAAATTGAAGATTTTAAAAATACCAAAATTCAAAAATCACATTGACATATGTAAATTAACAAAAATTTTATACATATCTGACAAATATCAGCAAGGGTATTCTGATATTTCGGGACCTATTAACAATGGAGAAATGAACAATTAAGAAAGCTGGTGTTTTAAATTTTAAAGTACATGCAGTGTATCAGCTACGTGAGAGAAATACACCCGATGATGGCCATTTACGGCCGAAACATGTAGTGTAGAAGAAGAGAAGACAAAAGAACTACAACAAATTGTTGCACTTAGGACAGAGTTTGTGTCATACATTGTGTAGAGTGTAACAGGATACTTAAATATAATATTACCTTTAACATATTTCAGTAGCACGTCTATAATTCAGACATTCACTAAGTTCGACAAGAGTTCACTCCAAATTAGTCCAAATTAGAGAGGTCTTGCTGTATTTAAATTACACATTATTACCATGAACAGGTATGTAACATTACAGATTAATTAAGGAACCTCCCTCTCTATAAACTACACAGCAGCTGAGTCCTGTTGGTTTTGTGGTTCATTTTATGAAGCTATTAGTATCTACATTATATACAGTTAAATGGCAGAATGATGAGTAAATAATTAATCAGAGGGTGTTCGGTAGTGGAGGGACTGAGGATAACCACACAACCTCAGTCAGAACAGCTAGTGCCCAGGCTGAGATTCAAACCAAGCACCTCCCAAATGTCTACAGCATTATGACTACACCACCCTTCTTAGTAACAGCACAGAAATATGTCATTAAAACTGGACCACAGCAGATAGTAGACCATAATTTACAGGGTAAGAAAAAGAAAGGGGCCCAAGTAAGCTCTTAGGCTAGGTCACAGGGATAGACATTAAACTATCTTCACACTGAAACACCTTTAATCTACATGCAAGATAAAAATTCAACAACGACCACCGAATTCAGTGTCCAGTTACTGCTCCATTCCCCAATAATGCTGCTGCTGCTCTATACTTCTGTCATGAAATAACACAATTTTATATTTTTACAATGCTTTTTCACCTTTGAAAGTGCTCTGCCTGGAATAGGGCGGCCTGGCAAAGCAAACAGCTTCTCCACACCACCAGTCTCCTTCCAGTGCATCAACCTCTTTGTAGGTGGAGCCAGATCCAGCGTTGTCACAATGTCGCTCGTGTCGGACAGCTGGGCCTTCATCTCTTCACCAGATATGTTTTTAATTTCATCAACAATAAGCTTACGCTTACGTTTCGTCTTTGTAAAACCTGTAACCCAATAAACATGCAACGTGACACTTATGCTTGCATTTGTCATTACACAATTTCTACCCCAATTTAAAAAAATAGAAGCAGACTTTTTCCCATTGTTGCTCCTTCTCTCTACTCTAACTCTCCCCACATTCATCCGCAACCATCTAATTTGTCTGTATATTAGCATTATGTAACTCAGTTTGTATGTAGTGTGCCTTGCAACTTTTCAGTTCAAACAACATAAACTTTGGGGCATGTGGCAGCGTAGTTGGTTGAGGCACTATGCTACAAGCCAGAAGATCGCAGGTTCAAGTCCCGATGAGGTCACTGGATTTTTTTCAAGTGACCTAATCCTTCCAGCCACACTATGGCCCTCAGGTCGACTCAGCCTCTAACAGAAATGTGTACCAGGAAATAATTAAATAATTTTCCTGGGGAGTAAAGCACAGACGGCACATAAGGCTGAAAACCTATCACCATCTTTGAGCTGATTGTCTAGATAATGCGGAACCCTCAATGTCTCACAACCCTATGGGCCTTCACGGCCTGTTACAGGGATAGCTTTACTTTTTTTTTACTTACTTACAACATAAACTTTATTTGTTACTGCAGAGACTGAAATGAGAACATGCCCACTTGTCAAAACATGGTTATAGACCTTACACTAACATTTATTTATTAATTCCAGTATAATAAAATCACAAAAACATTATTTCTTCATATCTAGACTTGTCGCTAATGCTTATTCACTTAACACCTCTATGCTTATTTTACCAGGTAGAATCATATGTTACATGTGCCTCTTTTGGGTTGAAAAAAGTTCACACTACTTTTAAATGAAAGAAGATAGTCCAGAATTTAATTCATACTATCAGAAAATTTACATTCTATGACAATATAATAGAGTAACTGACAATTAACAGAGTCAAATTTATGAATGTTCAGCAACATGGTGGGCAATTATATATAGGATGGATTTATAAATATCCTATGAAATAACAGGCAGTAAATGAATTGCTCATTTCAGCACCACCACTTATGAATAAAATGATGTGACTGGCTAGTCAGCTGTTCATCCACATAACTCAACTCATACCTCTCAGTGCTGAGGCATCTACAGGGGCAAGGGCAAAGCTCTCCTCCTCATTTTGAAGCAATGTTGTCTGCTCATGTGCAACACTGCCAGGCTGCTCCTCAACTTGGTCTGGAAATGTTGGCTCAATTGGAGGAGGGACCACAGGTTGTGGCTCGGGGGGCGGTGGTTCCGGAACAAGTCCTTGTACAGGAGTGGCAGGGCGGGAGTCCCCGTCCATACTGCAATCCATGACAATACTCCATTGGTACTTCCCACAAACCTGCTCTTCACTCTTTCATAATACATTTTCTGAAAATGTTCACTTCTCACATAAATCACAATAACCAACATATCACCTTCTGTATAAATTGCATCTACATTTCTATACATGTCTGTACTCCACTGATCACATAAAGAAAGGTCACCTTTGTCCCCCGACAGACGGAGGACCCCCAAAGTGATCGCCCATGTCATCATCACTATCATGGGCAGCAGCTTCTTCTGGAGGCTTTTCTGGTTCCTCTGCTTGCTGGACTGTACTTGTTTCAACAGCCGGAACTTCAGTTGGCATTGGTGCATCATCAAACAGCCCTCCCTCAAAGAGTCCCCCAGCTGTCAACATGAAAAAAACACATCATACTAACTAACTCCATGGAGATGAGCCCTTCATGAGAAGCTTCCAGTTATGCACCCACTCACAAATTTCCCAACACTTTATGTAACCCAAAGATTAATTTACCATGTTCACAAGAGCCCTCCACTGGTCCCTATCCTGGGCCAGACCAATCCAATCCAATACATACCACCCCAGCCTATCTCCATAAGATCCATTTTAACATCATCCACTCACCTAGAAACAAATATATCTCAATTGAAAATCTGCTACTGACTGCATATTCACAATGCATCACAAAGCTTACAAGCTATCACTACTAACATTCATGCTGAGCTGCTGTAATGACAGAAATCTGCTACTTTTAGAAACAGAGAATGATAACACAAGAGGTATGTGACACAAAGAAATTTTTTGGTATGCCCTTCCCTCAGCTCTAACAGAAGTAGAAATGTGAATACCAGGCCTCACTGTGCCCTGAAGCCCATGTCAAATTGCAGGTGCCCTCTGCTACCAAACCATATCATCTTACTATCAGGATCAGCAGAGTCCAAACCATGGGTATCCCACCTCAGAAACAGACTTTCCCCCCAGTGCTGAAGAGGGCAGAGGACTGAATTGCTCAATGGACCAAAAACAGAGGCGTCACATTCTGTAAGATCCCACATTTCTGAGAACCAACATGATGCTACAAGAATATCATCTGATTTACAAGGTCCTTCATTGTTGGACCGCCTCTGTGGCCTAGTGGTCAGAGTTCCTGGCTACAGATCCAGAGGTCCTGGGTTCAAATCCTGGTGCTACCAGATTTTCTGAGTAGTGGGTCCAGAATGGGGTCCACTCAGCGTCATGAGGATAACTGAGGAACTAGCTAAACAGAAAAGTAGTGGCTCCGGTCCAGAAAACCGAGATTAATGACCGTGGGAATCTGTTGCACTGACCATGCAACACCCTGTATCCACAAAAGTTGGCACTAACTTCACCGACAAGCAGCGGTTGCTTGGTCAGTATAGTTCACTTGCAGACTAAAAGCTACAGAGATTTTTTTCATATTAATATAATTGGCGTAAGTAAGAAGTATCTATAACTATCTTACTGTTTGTCTATAAATCAAACAAGGAGATATTCCCCATCGCACACTTATGGATGGGGTCCAACCAAAATCCAACAGCTCAAGCAGAAGATTACCTATGATATCCTGCCCCAGATTGCCTCCAAATCCATCATCCCGAATTGGTGCATCTATCTCAAGTGCGGATCGCGACGACTGGCCTCCTGATGTAGATGGCTGGGGCTCCTTTTCTTTCTCCAGGGCAATTTGATCGACAGATGGCCCATCACTGAACAACAAGTTTGCCTGCAAAAGCACACAAACAACTGCCATATACAGTGAACTGCAAGAGGTTTTTGGCTATGTGCCAATCATGCAGCACTCATCAAAATGAATGATCAGTTTTAGCAGCCCTTAACCTTCATGAGCGATATATCTATGCACTATGTTCATATCCAAAAAGAACCAATTATAACACAGGAGCAATAAATCTATTGTTTCCTCTGAGAAAAATTGATAAAGAAATTAAACACAGCAAACAAACTCACCTCAAAAAATGAAACATTATAACCCATTCAGCCAGGACACTTTCCAAATTTTAACAACAGAATTAACAAATATGAGTTCTGAAGTTGTGACAAAAAAATATTTAGACTGTAGTCTCCTAGAATGTGACATCATGTTTTACATTTGGCTACAAATGCTTCACACACACTGTGCATTTATATTCATGGTCTGCAAGGCATCACAGTCTCAAGTAAATGATCTGCTCCTCAAGGCCCCTACTCTTGCAACAAACATTATTACAGCTCTCACAAAATGACCTGCTCCTCAAGGCCTCTACTCTTGCAACAAACATTATTACAGCTCTCACAAAATGACCTGCTCCTCAAGGCCTCTACTCTTGCAATGAATATTATTACAGCTCTCACATTACATGCACTGCACAAGACTAATCACCTACTGGCACTTCAAGCCATACCCTGAAACTGCTTCAGGCATGCTGTAACCACACTGGCAAACTGGAATACAATTTATTCAAAATGAGAACATTCAATCCATACATGATGTAATGAGCAGAAAGATCCACATGGTTCAGATTTGAACTTTTCACGACAATAAAAATTCTGGGTAAACTCTGAAGACAACAGCTTCCTGTGAAAAAGCACTGTGACCATCTACAAGACTACACAGCATCACAACTTGGGTGGCCTTATTCTGAATTTGAAAATGTTTGTATATAAGGCACTCTTTTTGCATCCTTAACATGTAGCCCATGCTGCCTGATGGCTTGATACAACAAATTTTTGGACAAATAAACTACATGGACTCTATATATCCACAAGTCAGTGTTTTTTTTTTTCAAATACTAATATTTCATACAAGATATTAATAAACATTTACTACATAAAATTTAAAAACTGTGACAAATATCATACACACATAAATTCAGAAAATGAGACCAATCAATGTTAACTAAATCCACTCCCTTACCTCAAATTTGTAAAATATGACCATTGCATGCAATTATTTGGCTTCCACTTACATCCTGTGATTTAATACAAAGATTTAACAAAACTGGAATTACCGGCTTTCAGACCTTGTCCATTATCTAGTATTCTAAACAACACCAGAGAACACATTTCAGAAACTGGATCTGTTTCTGTCCTCAGGTAAGGGAGAAACACCTACTCTGTTGGATCCATTAGAAAGTGCTAACCCCAATCATTGGAGATTAGTCCTTCTACTATAGGTGTCACCCACTCACCTGAGAATTGCAACAGATCCAATTTCCAAAACAATGTTCTCGCGTGTTTTTTATAATACTGGATGATGGACAAAGTAAAAAACTGAGTAATTCCAAGTGTTTGGCACCATCTTCAGAACCCTTTAGAATCCATTTTAATAAAATGTCCACTAAACTTATCTTGAAAACTTCTTTCTCCCTTTAAATACCAAAATATGCACTGAATTTGTTAAGATACCTGATCAAGAGACGGCTCCAAATTAGAAACATTCCTCATCAGCTCTGGGGGCTCTGTGTCAAAACCCATATCCCCAAAGCCTTCATCACTTGCCACTAGGTTGATATTGCCATAGTCCTCTCTCATTGTAATCTCTTCTGCACGAGACTGGTTTAAACTGAATTGGGCCTCAATGTCGACATCACTGAAACCCAAATAGCTACCTCAAACATTTTACCAAATGAATCATCTTAACATGAATTCAAGTGTGTGTGAACTTACTTAAGCTCTGGCATAGCTGTATCAAAATCATGAAACACCTCTGGCAAAGTAATAGCATTAACTGCTGCTTCTCGATGTTCTTCTGGCAGATCTACCATCCCTGGTCGAAATGCCATTTTTATCTTCACAAATGCTTCATTACAGTCGGCCAGTAGATACTTTGCCTTTCGTGAATAAATACGCACCACTCCCAAGAGTAAATGACCAGATGTCCGTAGTGCCATCTTAACCTATAAAACAGGTGCACAAATATCGATGATAAGTCATGGAAGAACAACGGTGTAACAAACATACAAAACTGGCGTCTTAAACGTTTACAAGCAAAAGCATGTTCCTATACACGACGACTAGAATTCTGTATTTCCCTACAGCTAAAGTACGTTACATATGCTTAGAAAACATACAGCCTACCTTTGGTTGCAAAATACCATCAACAGACTTTTCGATGTTTGTTTCAAATACATGTGCCTTGGTGAGCTTTTTATCCCAATGTGCAGCCAGCCAGATACGGGCCAGCGGCCCCTTCTTTGCCAACACAAAGTGGGCGTAAAACATGGTGACTGTAAATATGTAGTCCAGGCAAACGACTCCAAATTAACCTATAATGGGATTAAATCAATAATAATATAAACCTAATACAATAAAATATCATTAAAACAACCCCTTGGAAAACTCTATAGGTTGCTGGGGCTACAGCAAAGTGTTTCTTCACTTGATTACTCACATTGACCTCCGACAACAACGTTCGTATAGACATTAGCAAATAATATACGATTCTTCAGCAATTACACTACTACACTGCGACAAAATCATACTTACCAACACCTCCAGATATCTAACGCCGTGACAGTTGGAAGGGCATTAGTCTGGAATGGGTGTTTTGGCGCCTTTCTACGTCAGTTCCTAATGCGTTAAGTTGAAATATATAATAAATTCTTCTATTCATGGGTACGACAACGAAGAACATTGACTTCTACGTAGAATCAAACACGGTTTATCGCGACTCTTCTTGCACTACCTTACATCCAAACAGTCACACATTTCCATTACGAATCGTTAGTATTTCCTTTCTGAGTAAACAAACGTACTTTAAAATGGCGTCTGTCTTACCTCAGTAGAAGTGGCCGCGTATTTTAAAAATTGGGCGCGTCTTAATCATAATCCAGATTCGTACGATATGTATACGTATGATACAGCATCCGACACATATATTCTATAAATTAAGAATCTGTATTTATATTCACATAGTAATTCTATCTGTCACACAGAAATAAACATGAATCAATTTCCTACATTTACTACAGAATTTAATTACAGTAAATCGACCTGACTCGACGACTGCAATGATTGGACACATCCGGACACATCTGACCAAAGACAAGCAACATAGGGCGATGGTTGGTCTGGCTTACTCTCTCTGACAAAATTGTCAACGCCGCCTATACCCTCTGACACTCCTTCTTGTATGACCTCTGACATTTGACGTATATATCCGTTATCTTGTTGTGTGATTAAAATGCAATAATAGAAGTCATGGCAAGGATGGTTATGAAATGTTCTATAAAAGCACGTAGGCTTTGGCGGTCTTTGGTAATGTGTGTTAGAGAATCCCAAGCATTTGCCATTGCAATAAAGTCTGCTGAATTACAGACGTCACAGGACAGGAAAATTGTTCGCTGAATTTCAGTGTGTATTTGTGATCAGACAAAGTGGATACAGATACAGCCGTCTGAGGCCGAAACATGTAGTGTGGGGAAGCAAGATCAAAGACACAAAATATATTGTTTGCACTTGAGACGGAGTTTATATCATTTATCGTATAGAGTGGAACAGGATGCTTAAATATAATATTGCACACATACCAGTAAATTCCAGTATGACTTATTTAGTAGTAGATCTGCCTTCTGGGATATAAGGCTGTATAGTGCAGTGAATGCCAACTGGTATTTTAGAGGGACACCCATTAACTTTCACTCAACTGCATTGCAGTGTTCTAAAGACAGGTTCACCAAGATCAGAAGTTTAGCTAAAATGACTGTCTTCTAGAATGTGATGCCATGTTCTCTGGTAGAAGCTGTTGCCTTTAGTTACTGTGTGTGTGTATAATATTAAAAACAAACTCACTGTAACAGCCAATGGAGGCCCATAGGGCTGTGAGTTGTCAAGGCTCCGACATTTCTAGAGTGTCGGCTCACAGATGGCGGTAAGGTTGTCAGCCTTATGTGCCAGCCACCCTTTACCCCCAGAAGATCCCTGGTACTCATTTCTGTTAGAGGCTTAGTCCAACCCAGGGCCATAGTGTGGCTGGAAGGATTCAGTTAATTGAAACATCCAGTGATCTCATGGGAAATCAAACCCATGACCTTCTGGCTTGTAGTATAGTGCCTCAACCAACTACACTACTCAGTGCCACATGTGTAACATGGTATTGCAGTTAAATCAGGGGGAGGGGGGGGGGAAACAGAGGTCACTAATACAGGAATGATTAGAAGCAAGAAGGTCTCTGATGCCACTTCAAACACTGAACTTCACCCTAAATTAATATTTTTTTTTTCAAAGCTGCACATAATGCAAGCAGCCTAGTTAGCAGTAATGATACACCACACCAAGATTATAGGCTGATGACTTGGAAGTATAGCCTTGATTCCTGAGGACAGTAAGTACATAGTCTCATGCTCCAGCTGCCTTCACTCTGTTCACTGGCTCCAATGACATACAATTGCCACAGTGATAGCTCAACTCCAAAGCCAGACTTGGCATGAATTAAATCATGCTCATTAACTGAGCAAACAATCAGTTTAACTTGTATACCCATACAGCACAAATTTATTACTTTATAACACACGTCAGATTTGCAAATATGTGAAAATAAATGAGAATAAAAATGTACAAAGTATAGCTTTTATTCCCATAAATTTCAACAACATTAATATTTTACAGGAAACCTTACATGACTCGATACATAATGGGCACACATTGACAGTATTCACACATGACCTGCAGTGAAATAAAATCCCCCTACCTACCAGTGATGTTTTTTCTCAAATTACATATACTCAGATTGCATATGACAATGCAGAATAATAGTGACATGCTGTAAAATGTGGTCACTAGTCACACCAACATGAAATGTTACATAGGGATGTCAAGTGATAAAACATGGGCAGTATGTAGGGGACATAACCTTTTTAAATAACCTATAGGTGTATGAAAGACCGATAAGATAAAAATTTCAATTTGGACGAGAAAGTAAAGGCACTTACTATTACAGTTGCTTGTTGTATGATGTGTAAACTGCAGGCTAAGAAATCCTGTAACATGCTGACTGCCAATAAAAATAATTTACATGCAATACACTAACAAGCTTTCACTCATGTAATATGTACAAAACTGCAACTTTCCTGTCTTTCCTGCTTCTCAATGTGAACCCAATAGAGAACACCCACTGACATTACAAAAATTTACCCTGTACTCTTGCTAATATGTACAGTAGCAACAACTGTTAGCATGATGTGCAAGTATTGCTGCAGAGTTTTTGGATGTGATTTCAATCTATATTCTTTTTTTTTTTTATTTGATGAATAAAATTTTATTTCCTAATATGTATGTCATTCTTTCTTTGAAATTCTTGCTACTAAATATTGTGATACTGACCATTACAAAGAAAGATGAGAGCAAAATCCATGCAATGGATATGAAACTTTTTATAAGTACTGGGGGAAAAACGAGAAGCATTTAGAAACGATATTTTCAGTGAAATTTGTATTTAAAATTCATTAATACAGTTTGAAGGGAAACGGTTACAGTAGTTTGGACATGCAGAATTAACAGAATAAGGATACCGTGAAAGGCATTAGAATTAACATTTAAAGGAAAGTTATCTGTGAGATAACCTAGAACATGGTTCAGCCAGGTACTGGATGACATGAAGAAAAGAAAAGAAAAGCAATAGTAAGAAACTGAAAGGAAAAGTTTGTGGGAAGAAAGAAGAGATGGGAGAGTTGTCTTCCAGTGACTTACAAAGTGAAAACAATTCCAGAAGATGATACAAGGGGAGAAACAATCTTCTGGACAAACAACTGGTTCCTCTGAATATATAAATTAAGAAATCCTGTATAAAGTTACCAACTGAAGTAAATAACATCACATTTTAAAACATCCTTGATCTTTTTGAGATCCTCTGCCACATCACATTCTTGTCCAGTGCTGGACTGGGTACAACAATTACAACAGTAAATCCACAGGGTGGTCCTCTGGAGAATTCAGTCCAATGTTCCAGTCTAAAGGCAGATTGACATTAACAAGTTTAAATGCAAACAAAACAGTTGTCATTTGTTAAAATAAATGGACCTTAAAAGCTTATAATTTGTTATCATTTGACACTCCTAATTAAAAACATTTATCATACAGTATGAAACATTTCTGCATTAAATACATACACACAGGACTGTATAAGTACATCCCTTGGTTATATGCAACTGTTAACATCGCATGCACTCATGCCTCAGACAGACAGATTATCAGTTTACCTTCATCCTCTTTTAACAGTCGTGACACAAAGAGACAGTTTCTGTCCTGGTATCCTCAATAAACTAGCAGGTGATTAACAGCAAAATATTTATATAAGCTGGGATATTACATATTCTCTTACACTAACTAAAAATTGCACATACAGAATGTCCGGAACAACGATATAAAATACACAAAATCTGAGATTCTCATAGTGGTGACTGCAAAGATTACTGTCTTCTGGGATGTTGTACTATGTAGTGTGATGGATGTTCACCAATGTATTGGGGAACCTACTGCCCCCATCTTCAGGGTAAAGCAGTAAGCCACATGGGATAAAACAATCAGTAATATAGAGAAGAAAAACATTGGGAGTATGGGTTGTTTGCCCAAGTCTTTGTCCTCCCTTCCTTATATCACTGACCATTTCTTCCCGCACAGCTTACTCCCTGAAGATGGATGCAGAATGTTCCTCTACAGCATTGGTAAATATCCATCATGCTGTCATGACATCCCAGACAACAAGTAATCTTCAGTTTACATTAAGAGCAAATTGTATTGGTTGAAGGGAACACACAGAGCAGACATAACCCAACCTCTAGTGCATATAGTAAAAATGCTGCACTCTTCCATATGTTAAAGAAGCATAGTTGTGAATCATGCCTCTCACAAATCATAGCAGTTCTGAACTAAACACCTCTCCTCTTGGTGAAGCTCAACTGCTTCATGTGAGTAACTCGTACACTTAAGGAACTGAGGATACAGTATACACAAGAATAGATACTACAAAGACACAGGACATACATTCTCAGGAAAGACCTATGAAATATGAATGTCACAGCTCAATCACTGATGCCCCTATTTAAAGAGTGTTTCAAAAGTGTTTTAAAAATGACCCTGGTTTGAGCACAAGTAAATCACATTGTGAACACTTATATTAAGATCAATCAGGTAAAATTAAAAAAAAAAAAAAAAAGGTAAAGTTGTCCCTGTACTTAATTAAGCAAGCACTACACCATGAAGGCATGTAGGGGAGTGGATGTATAGATGCAAATTTTCTTGACCTTGGCAATAGTTGGAGGTGAGTGGTCAGCTGCATGGCCTGGCTGCTTTACCCCCGGAGAAAGAGCCCAGGTACCCTTTGGATAGGAGGTTGTGTGGACCCCAGAGCTGGTCTAGATGACATGGAGAAGTGAAAATTCTTGATCCCACTGGGAGTTGAACTCCAAACCCTCGGTCATCCAGCCACTAGCTAGTCACTATACCATCTGTGCTATCCTGGCTCACAATATCAATCAGTAATCCTTAAAATGCCTACAAAGTTTAAATTGAACTACATATGTTTAATAATGAATACCGTATTTATTCAAATACCACACCCATATGCTGCTTTGAAAAATCTGGCTGTTTTATTTCCAGCAATCACCTTTCTCCTACAACCAGAATAGGAGTTTAGGATGGCTGGTCCTGTTCTTGTTTCCTATTGGTTTGCTTGGGGATCAAGAGAGCCCAGCAGTTTCATTCTGTTCCATTGCGAGCCAATAGGAACTGAGGTCCACTCTTCTATTACCCTCCTGCCTCCTATATAATCATAAATTTCCAGTCAAATGATTACTCTGCTTTCCACCGGCTTTAACACTGGTATCTTGTTCAACATATTCACCTCTGAAGATGGAGGCGATATGTTCCTCTGTAATGTCGGTTGACTTTCAACAGACTACATAGCGTTATAGCCAGTGCTTGAGGTGGAATGAAAATAGAACCGGGATGGTTTTCCCCTTTTAATTATTAAACTATACTGAGTGATGTATATAGTAACGGGATGCTTTTAAGCCATTTAGAAAAGAACCAGGATGCCATCCTGCCCCACCTCAAGCCCTGGTTATAGCCCAGAAGACAGTATTCCTCATAACCAGCAGTGTAAGAACCTCAAATCCATCTTCATTACTTTTTTTACTTTATCTAAAAAATTATAAAAATTCATAGAAAGCATCTATTGGGCATTAAATGTGTATTCCATTTTCCTCCACATTTGACATACTATATAGATATAAACTATGCATTAAATGCAGCAACAAATAGAGATACTTCAGATGAATCAGAGGATACTGCAACCCGTTAACAGCTTGGAACACATTTCATGTCTTAATGCTGCTGCATATATTCAGTAACAAGAAATATGTCAAACATGACAGACCTAATAAAGAAATCAAAATAATTAATATAATACTTCATAACCTATAACAGATACAATGAGGTAGCCAGTAAACTTGGGCAATTCTAAAAGGTCCTGATAAAGATATATTACACTAAGTACTATTGTGTTTTCTGGACTTCTTCAATTGTTTAGTATTGCAAATAGAACACACTTTGGAGACTTGCTGTAGATGCAACTACTCAGTTGGTCCTCTTTCCAGTGCCTGAGATTAATTGTTTCTGATGTACTCAACAGGCAGGTGGATGGCTTCCCAGCCTTTCATCTATAGGCAGAAACATATCCAGTTTCCAAAATGCTATGTTCTGTTCAGCATATCAGACAATGGATAAAGTCCAGAACCCAAGTAATCCTGAAGTGTCAATCTAGTGTTAAAAATGAAACCGTTATATTGGATTTGAGGTTCCCAAGGCTGTGACTACAAAGAGTATGGTCTTCTGAGTTGCAACATCACGTAGTTTGAAGAGAGTCCAATGTTTTGGAGCTCAGCTTGCCTCCTCCTTATGCTGGTTTCCTCCCTAGTTTAGTCTTTGACTCTGAAGATACAAGCAATATGTTCCTCCGTAACATTGGGCCTCCTACAGCATACGTGACATTACAACCCAGAAAACCATACTCTTCAGATTTTCTTACTTTCATGCCTTCCAAAATTGGGGGTGCATGCTTTGCCCAGGCACAGCTGTACTTCAATAAATAAGAAGAGGGTAAAGTGAATTCAATTTCCAGCTTAGCCCTCTGTATTAACTGGTTCTCGAGCGTGATGAATTTTCACATGTTTATTATGGTTTGACTTGGTGCTGGAAGCCTTCCCACAGATGTGGCAAGCAAATGGACGAGACCCACTATGCACACGTAAATGTTCCTTCAGGTAATAACTGCGGTGAAACAGCTTCCCGCACACATTACAACTGAATGACTTGCCAACTTCGTGCTCCCGCACGTGGCGCAGGCAGTTATACTTCCGAATGAACTGACAACCACAGTGATTGCAAGTGTATGGCCGGACATTGCGATGTGAATGCATATGTGCAGTGTAATCGTTACGACGAAAGAATGCACTCTTGCACAAGGAACACTTGAAGGGCTTCGAACTGCGTGCTGCATGAGTCCACCGATGCAGCTGCAGGTTCCACTTGGTGCTGAAATTCTTCCCACACACGTGACATGAATATGGACGCTCACCACTGTGCATGCGCATGTGTACTGCCATCGAACTTTTTAAGAATACATATCCACACACCTTGCACTCCACATTCTCCACTTCACGCCCACACTTTGGCACATAACGACAATCGTGAGCTTTGCGAATGTGTCTTGTGAGACTCGCCGCATGAACAAAGCGCTCGCTACAGTAGGTGCAACATTTTGGCTTCTCTTCATGAATTTCTTTGTGCCACTCCAGCTTTTTCTTTGAGTGGAATATCTCCCCACAGTGGCAGATGAAGTCCCTCACCTTCTTCTTAACGTTCATGTGATGTCGGTGCTTGTGCTGGATGAGGTTGCTGTACCTCCTGAAAGTCTCGTCACACAGGGGGCACTTGATTGGTGCATTGCCTGTGTGAGAGTTGGTGTGTTCTGCCAGCTTCTGTTTTGTTACAAATGCCTTGTCACATACAGTACATTTGTGGGGCTTGATACCTAGATGTCGTTTCAAGTGTAGTTCGAGGTTCTGACGTCTATAGAAATATTTTCCGCACTGTGAACATTCAAGAGGATGTGTCTGAAGATGGGCTTGGTATTCACCATCATTAGTAAAGACTTCTTTGCACGTGGCACATTCATTCTTTTTGTCTTTAGCCTTCTTGTGGACCTTGAGTTCATGATCACTCCGCAACTTAGTAGATGTAAATAGTTCTGTACACATGCTACAACGATAGATGGCAGCTGCTTCTAGTACAGGTTCTTGTTTTACCAGTTCTGCAGCCTCGGCTTTATCAGGTGTAGCAGACACATTCTCTGGGAGCCCTTCTCCTTCTTCAGATCCATCTTCTGCCTCCATCTTGGTTTCGGTATCTTCTTCAAGGAACACTTCCATGAACTGTGGCCCTTCTGTCTTCACACAAGACTTATCTTCTTCTTCCTTTATCACCTTCTTAACTCTTGCTTTTTGCTTATGAGCTTGTTTTCTTGACACTATATCCACACTAATTTTACCCTCATTTGCTGAGGCCACTGTTTCACTGCTTCCGCTCTTATCAGAATGATAAGTACTTCTATGAACACGCCGTTCCTTGGGACAGTTGAATGGTTCCCCACATGCTCCACATTTATAAACCCTATCTGCCCTCATCTTCCTCTTCTCTTGGCCACTTGTCCCAGATCTGTCACGCTTCTCCCCAGCAGATGCAGTTGCCTCGTTCTCCAGAATGACGTCTGCATCTGAACCATCTGAAGCCTCCCAACTCTCCTTGGCCAGCAGGTCATATGATGTTGACACTTCCTTCTGTTGAAATGCCTGCCACAAATATAAGATTGAATGTTTTACTCATTATACAATGGATGAAATTCACAACAAACATTCATAAACACACAACACAATCTGTACTGTGAGTTTGCAGTACAATTCTATATCAGCTTCCAATGTTACATAGTATCAAATGAGTTGTCATAAGATGACTGTGAAAGATGAAACAGAACACATCTCTGAGGATAGGTCATACTTTGAGTAGGGAACCTTACAGAAGAAAAATTCTGTGTGTTCAGTAATACCTCTGGTGTGGTGATTTACTTCCCATTGTATGTTCAAAATAGAACATAGTAACTTTCTAAGGATGATGCAATGATCTACGTGACTATCTGATGATGTCATATCCTCAGAAATGTTTCAGACAAAGCTATAGCATTCCAGAATTTGCCTGGGGGTTGGGAGAAACCATGAAAACAAGACATGATAACCAGTCTTCAGGCAGATTTGTGAATCCAGGACCTCCAGTGTATGAAGCAGGACTACATCACAATATTTAGCAAACAGAAGTCTGTACCCAAAGTCCTATAAAGAAAAAATAGTAAAAATGCATTTTATCTTGCCTTATAAGAGATGCTGAAACTCAGTCAACTTTCTGCCACAAACGGTAATGAATGTGCAAAATGCTGGAAAATATTTCAAAGTGGCACATTTATGCAAAAGAACAACTTACTAAACTTGCCACTATATTATTATTATTTATTATTAAATATTCTTTGTAAGTAACACTACAGAGCACACCCCTGTCTCACAAACTGGTTCTAACTTGTCTTAACAAACTTGTCCCCTTATTTACATTCTGAAATTCTGTCCTACATTTTGTGCATATTCAAAAGCTGTGAGGTAAACAAGAAAAATTCTTAAATATGACCCCCACCCCAAAAATAAAAAGGCACGGCCTGAGAAACTCACCTGCACCCACACAGAACTGTCGCTGCCCCCCACACTCTCCTGCTCAGACAGTTCTCCTCTAGGTGGCATCATTTCATCTGTTTGGATGTTCAAACTTGGCACTGACGTTGCTTCTGACTCTGTCTCTCTGGGCTGTTGTATTTCTCCTTCAGTAGGAATGGACAACCCAAGTGGCATGGAAGCCGGGCAATCATCTGCAGGAAGCTTGCCCTCCAACATCGAGGATGGATTTTTCAGGAAGTGTGATGGCACAAGGATCTGAATCCCATCAATTTCAATTATGTTAAGAGGCTCGGATGAATCTATATCCAGAAATCTGTTAGCACCTTCCTCATTTGGCTCCTCGGGTTTCTCACAATTGTCCTCAACCCCTTCTGTCATCTCTTTTACAGCTGCCTCTTCTTTACTAGTGTCACCCTGCCCAGAAAACTGCCTGTCAGATGTGATGTACTCATCACTGTCTTCTACACTAACAGGAGGTGGCTGGATTCTTAGAGCATTCCTAATAATACCTGATATCTGTGACATGTCTTCATTTCTTACATCAATATACTCATTCTCTGTGTTGTCCTCAGACCCAGAATCACGTGCTTGCACCATGGGACTAACAGCCACATCATTCAGGTCCTTCCGCACCCTCACATTCACAGATTCATTCCTCAGCATTTCCTGCTGCAGATCACCAGCTGCATCTTCTAGAGTAACAGCTGCCTCTTCATCCTTTGTCATACAGGGACTCTTCTGATCCTCCTCCTCATATTGAGGGTCGCTTGTTTGCGTTGCCACACCACTGTAGGCTGCACCAACATCACATGTGCTACTGGGCAAATTCCTATCTGGAAATGAATCTTTTTCAGGATCATCTGCTATAATAGTTTCTTCTTCAAGCTGCTGCTTTGAACATGGGGGTATACCATTTGAAACAGAAATGTTTCTGTGTTGATCAGATGGTGGTGATCTTGGTTTGTTTATGGTACCTTGTTCATTAGGAGTCTGCTCCCTCGCTGAGGGGTACAAATAGCTTGCAGAGGATATGGGACATGACAATGTGGAAGGAGAAAAAGAGCTGGCAGAGGAAGCTGGTAGAGGAACTGATGAAGATATTACACTACTTGTATTCTGCAATCCTTGTGGGGCACAGTCTGGAGGAAAGTCACTCGTCTGATATGGAACACTGAGAGGAATTGACGTGGAAGCAAGGTTCATTTGTGGCTGGGTAACATGAGTGGGATAAGATGGGACCACATGGCGCATGAAAGGCTGCTGATGTGATGGGGAAGTCACTGAGCTGAGCAACTGAAACTGTTGTTGTTGTTGTTGTTGCTGCTGCTGAACCACGTATGGATTGTACATCATTTGCATGAAAGCAGCTGACTGACTGCCATTGGGTGCCGACAGTATGGTAGGCATGGAGGCATACTGTGGGATGATGGAATTTGAGGCCAAACCATTGCTGCTAAGGAAATGTTGGTATGTTATGGCTGTTGTGAAATGACTACTGCTAGGTGAGAAGCACTGAAAACCTGATATTGGTTCCTGACCGCTACGGGTAACTTCAGGTGTGGCAGTTGGTAATGCTTCAGTGTCACTCTGGTTTTCCTTTCTACCAGTGATGTCTCCTGCAGAAATCCTTACCAGTGCAGCTATCACTTGATCCTTGGGGTGGGTGTCAAGATGGCTTTGTAATGTAACTCCTTCCCGCATGTACAGTGTACACACGGGACAAGAAACAGGGCTCACCCCATTCTCCATTGTACACCACTTCACTTAGTTTTCGTTTATGAAGAGCTCAGTTTCGCCACTAACATACTTGAAATTTTAAATTTTAGATGAATTCTTACACCCTAAAACAACTTTCCATGGTAAAATTGTGGGATTATAAAGCTTCGACATTATTTTCATTGTCCTATAATATCCTCATTGTTGAAAGGCTTGACTGTATAATAAATAACTAAATGAATATTAAAAACATACAACCTGTATCGACAATACATAAACACTGAAGCACAAAAAAAAAATTGGATAAAACTCGGTAATGGATAAAAACACGATCTCATAACCATTTCGTGTATTCCAAGAACGTTTTGGTAACATATAGCAAAAGGGCACATCTTACATAGTCTAAAGAGTATGGCACTATTACTTTCAATAAAAGCATACTGATAATGAGCGTAAATATTACAAGTTCAATTACTACAAACACCACCAAATTCCCCAACGTCCGTAGCGGCCCGTAACACGAACAGTGAACGAGCCCATAGTCAGAGTGCGTTCGTGAACTTCGTGAAGTACAGCACCGGCTCTCGATCTGACATTATATTCATCGTTTAAGCCCTGCACTTGTACATAGCGTAATTGTTTGCAGGAGCCTACTGTAAACGAAAAGACGATCTATGTCAGTGTACGAACCTGTAAAGGTACACGAAAAATGGACGTGTATTCTAACAGTATGAGTTGGTCGGGTGAGTAAGGTCGTTATATATAAGAATTTATTAATACCTTCAATTCTATAAGCACAGAAGACTTGTGTTAAAGTTGATACTTGTATGGTGATTATATAATGTCAAACGTAACTTTTTTAGGTTAGATTAGGATTTCCTATAGCAACTTATGGTAACTGTGCACGAATTCTTTTAGTCATTTAAGCATTTCCTCATTTAACATGGAAAATAATGGTGGTTGTTACTATTTGTTCTGCCATTTTTAATGCTATTCTATACACATCAATCTAGCAAAATAAGGCTAGCAGGAAGGAAATTTTCACCAGCTGATACCGTCACGTAATAGCAGTATTTAGACACAAATTAACTGTAACCTATTCCCATACCTCTGTCAGGCGTGTTTCAGCTGCCAAATTTAAACTATGACAATGCAGTAATTATCAGTTACAATGCAATATTTGAAGAATGTCATTATTTTCATGTTCATTGGCCTAGATGTGTTATGTGTATTTGCTTTCTAGAGGTACGAGATTTATTTAGATTGTGGAGAGAAGAAAATGTACGTAAGAGCGTAGAAGTTGTTGACCTATGGGAGAGAACACTACAGAAGAAGATGCACAAATTTGGTGATGAAAGTAAGCGACATTTCAATGTGAACTTGACATGTAGGCTCTACAGATTTAATAGATTATGGGTGTCTTGAGTGTTCCATTTTGAGCACACACTGTCCATATGGGTGCTAGTCATTTATTGCACTAATTTCTAATGATGTATTCAGGGCTCTTAGTACTGGAGCAAGTGTGTGTGGCTGCCCTGGATTGCAACAGGCTTGAAGTGGCTGATGCGTGTCTCAAAGCTCTTTTGGCTGAGTTCCCCACCAGTCTGCGCATTAGGAAGTTGAAGGCCCTCAAGTTAGAAGCACTGGAAAGGTACACCTCATGATGAAACTTGAGGCATATGCCTCAGTAGCACCTTACATTAGGCCATAACAGCTTCCTTCCATATTCTTTGATATTCATTATTCACTATGCATCCTATTGCTCAATGCTATATAGTCTGAATTGCTGATAGCTTCATTAACAAGCTGATAAATAATGAGATTCAGAATTTTGCAAGGTTTGAGGTTCTCACAACGGTGACTATGAAGATTACTGCCCTTTGGAATGTGACATCATGTGGACTGGTAGATTGTTACCAACATTTTGGAGGAATCTGCTGCTTCCATTTTCAAGGTACTGTCCTGAAGATGGAGGTAATAGGTTTCTCTGAAACATTAGTACAATCTATTAAACGACATGGCCTCATATCCCAGAAGACAGTAAAACTCACACTGTACCCTGCTTTTTGACTGGTGGATCAAATGCATGAAACTGTTTGCAGCAAGCCATCTGTAACGAGTCACACTTGATGTTCGCACATTGAAACAGCCAATTGAATAATTAAGAAAAAATAACCTCGCAGCACAGTAACCTCACTATTGTTACGTGACTATACAATTGAATTTGGTAAGAAATCAGCCTGTCTGATCACACTGAGTTGTGGTTACGAAGGTTGCTGAAACTGAAGTTTCAGCCCCACTGGTGGGAGAAATCTTATAAGAAGTACCAGGACAGTTGCAAACAAAAGAATCGCATGTTGCATACTACCTTCTTCCTGCAGTCAGCTGCACCAGTGGGAGAGCAGCCCAATGCTTCATGCGGCCGGTCAGTCACTCTACCATACAAATGTGCTCAAATGCAAAGCCTTATTTCTTTTTCCTGTCTCAACAGACTTAGTTCCATGAGTACCACAACTTTAGAAGCTGCTTGCTTCATGCATAATTATATAGTTGGTTCATTTGTAGCTTATTTGATGATTCAGTGTCATGTACTCAAGTCAGTGATGAACCTTCCAAACATTAGTTCTGCATGTCTTTTGGTTTAGGTACGATGAAGCCCTAGATATACTGGACTCCATCATCAAGCAGGACGAGACAAATGCTGCCCCTCGCAAACGCCGCATTGCCATTCTCAGGGCAAGGGGTAAAATACCTGATGCTATTAAGGAGCTCACTGAGTACCTTAAAAAGTAAGTGTTTGTTATTGTTTTGTTTGATTAAAGAATTTGGCATGTGCCATTCTAACATCTGAATCTCTGTTTCTTAGGCTCTGAGAGTTATGAAGTATTTTGTGGTTTATGATTAATATTATGAAGTTAAATGTAACATATGTAAAGCTGTGCCATAGCTGCTTGTTTGTAGTTTATTTAATGATGCAGTCAGGAGCTGAGGTCAAGGAGGATGGGGTGGGCAGGGCATGTAGCACAAATGGGAGATGAATGCATATAGGATATTGGTGGGAAAGCCAGAAGGAAGGAGACCACTGGGAAGACCAAGGTGTAGGTGGGTGGACAATATTAAAATGGATCTTAGAGATATAGGATGGGATGGATTGGATTTATGTGGCTCAGGATAGGGACCAGAGGAGGGCTCTTGTGAACATGGTAATGAACCTTTGGGTTACATAAAATGCTGGGAAATTCTTGAGTAGCTGCAGATTTGGCTTCTCCTCAAAAAGGGCTCACCTCCAGTAAGTAAGTAAGTAAGTAAGTCAGTTGCTGAGACTATATGGAATCAGAAACCTGGATGGCAGTCAGTAATGAATTAGAATGTGGAAGAAAGCACTCATATCCAAATTTCAGGTGCGTTTACCTGGAAGGAAAGCCACAAAAACACTGGTTAGGGTAGTTGATGTCCTGTTTGTGATTCGAGTCAGGCACCTCCCAAAGCCCAAAGCCTTACTGTTTGAGGCAGCCTCCTCAGTGCAATAGCTTCAGCAGTTAGCCTCCCCATCCCATAGTAGTCCCATAGTAGTAGTAGCTTTAGGGCAAGCAGTTGGTTTTCCTGTGCCAGGACCACGCCATAGCTCAAGCGGTTAGTCCCTGGCTTCCCACCGCAGTGGCCCAGGTTCAAACTCGGGTCTGGTGAAGTGGGATTTGTGGTGGACAAAGTGGTGCTGGGGTAGGTTTTCTCTGAGTACTTCGGTTTCCCCTGTCAATCTTCATTCCACCAAATTCTCCATCATCATAATCACATGAGGCAGGTACAATAGGCAAATCAGTGGCCGTTGTGCCGAGTGGACCCAACTGGACTCCACCCCCCACTATGCGAAATTTCCTGTGCCAGTTATCATTCCACCAATACTTCATACTCATCCATCATAAGAGACTAGTACAATAGACCACAGTACTAAGAGACCCAGTCCCACCCCACTCCTACAACTAACTTAAGTTCCTAAGGCATGACGACATGCAGAGGGGACAGAAGTAGTTTAGAGATAAAAGACATTGCTGAAACAGAAATATCCATGAATCTGAGATATTTTCAATTTATGTTAATCATAACTAAATTTATGTTAATCATAACTAAAGTGGATACCAAGACTGGATTTGTTTATTTTCACAATGTGTAGCACCTAGGTGCAGTTAGACTCCATGAAAGGCTGCACCATAGCTCAAGCGGTTAGTTGCTGGCTTCCCACCATAGTGGCCCAGGTTCAATCCTGGATCTGGTCAAGTGGGATTTGTGGTGGACAAAGTGGCGCTGGGGCGGCTTTTCTCCGAGTACTTCGGTTTGCCCCGCCAATCTTCATTCCACCAAATTCTCCATCATCATAATCACCCGGGGTAGGCTACAATAGGCCAATCAGTGGCTGCTGTGCCGAGTGGACCCAGTTGGACTCCACCCCCCACTAAGTGAATTGGACTCCATAAATTAGAGTGCTTGGAAGGCCAAGCCTATCTTCACAAGTGCTCTCCACAGGATCATATCCTGAGCCAGATGAATCCAACCCACACAGGCACACACTATATGTTTTAACGTCCATTCAGTATTACCTGTGGATTTGTCTTTGAGTCAGCATTTGGCTGAAGCTCTTGCATTTATAGCAAAGGCATATTTGTTCCAGGTTTATGAGTGATCAGGAGGCATGGCAGGAACTGTGTGAGCTGTACCTCCTTGAACAAGACTTTGCTCGGGCGGCTTTCTGCATGGAGGAGCTCATCTTGCACAATCCACATAGTCACCTAATTCACCAGCGATATGCTGAGATCCGCTATACACAGGTAACAGATTCTAAGCTCATGTAATAATACAGATTGTACGTCACAGGAAACCAACAGAACTTGAACAAATGCATGCATAAAAAGCGATGTTAATGCTTGTCGCTCTCAGAGAAAATTTGTGTGTTATTAATTGGAAAGAGAAGCATATCTTTACAAGCCAAGAATTCTGCTAGTATGTTTGATTATAAGATTTGATGTTATGACAGCAGCAGAGACACATATTGTGGTCTTCTGGGTGATGATACAGCATAGCCAGGTGGGCAGGTGAGGAACACACTGGCTTCATCTTCAGCATAGAAGATTCTAAGGGTAACTGTCAATGAAAAATCCGTCGAGTGTAACAATGTTTTTAGGTCACTTATTTATCTCACTTGCCTTACATGTTTCGGTTCAAGAGAAACCATCATCAGAGGCACGTATTACAAACACATGAAAACACTGGCGCTGCTTAACGTACACAGTATGTAAACTGCGTAGACGCTGTTACAGATGTCGAAGTGTAAAAGCACAACACTTTCTGGTAGCATTGAATGCACGTACAACTCTTGCATTCCATCTGAAAATTGCCCTCAAATTGAGCCGTCAATGTTAAAATATTTAAAAGTTTAAAACATTTAAAGTAAAATGTTGGGCTCCTTCTTGTTGATTCGTCCCGATGATGGGAAGCGTCAACTTGAGGTTGTGTAGGCTTATGGTCGGATGTTTCTTACGCGTTGTGTGTTGTGTAACGGACCAAAATGAAACAATTCTAAGGGTAGATTCTTAATTTATTTGATTATACCAAGTGGAGGAGGTTAAGTGCAGTGTCAGATGAAACAAAAAATTGATGCTGAATGGCGGTAGGTTAGGAAGGAGTTGATTATGGCTGTTTTAAATTATAGTCCAAAAATTTGGCTTTACAGATTGAAGAAAACTATGAAAATAACTAGTCAGGGTTGCCAAGTTTGAAGTGGGTACTTCTCAAATACAAAGTTAGAGTGTTACAGTCATGCCAACTTACTGTCTTCATTTTCATCCTGCGCTGTTAAGAAAGTTGTGTGTTTTGAATGGATGTAACATGGCACAGACTGCAAATGGAAGTATACATTCAATGTTGCTGCCTTGCTAAACACTTTATGGTTTGTTTGTTTAAACAGGGAGGCTTTGAAAATATGGAATTGGCACGAGCTCACTATTGCCTGGCTCTGAAGCTTAGCCCCAACAATATTCGAGCCCTCTATGGCCTTTTTCTGGTGAGAGCTACTGTTTTTTGTATGGCTGAGGTCTAAACTCACACACAGGAATTACTCATAGAAACTAAGTTCTCAACACTGATTCTTCAAGAAATGTCATGCTGTTATATGCACTTCTTGTCTTCACCATTTATATACCTTACATCAGTTTTAATATTATCCTACTGTCTATATCTCTTAAATTATGCTAAGAATAACAGTGTTCAAAAAACTGATATGATTGAAATAAAGTCTGTGTTTGGACTTTTATATTTAGCTGGTTTTTATAAGTCTAGTCACCAGAATCTGGATGATCTCTGGGCTATGGATTGTACCAGTGTTGAATTATTTAGAAACACAATGTCACTTTTTCGTTTCCGTTTTCTTCTTACATGTCTACAATTTGATGACCGAAGTACTAGAACTGAACGGAGATATTATGACAAATTGGCTCCAATTAGAGAAATTTTTGATAAGTTCAATGAAGTATGTGAGTCTGTTTATTCTTTAGGAGAAAATGTAACGATTGATGAAAAGTTAGAAGCGTTTTGTGGACGATGCAGTTTCCGGAAGTACATTCGAAAGAAACCGGCAAAGTATGGCCTGAAAGTATTTGTTTTGGTTGATGCCAAGTCCTTTTATACTTCTAAATTGGAAGTTTGTGTTGGTGCACAAGCTGAAGGCCCATACAAAGTTTCAAACACACCTTCTGAAGTTGTTACAAGCATGATTGCACCTATATCTGGATCAGGTCGCAATGTGACTTTAGATAATCGGTTCACAAGTTACCCATTGGCTAAATCCTTGTTAGAAGATAGTATGCTAACTATGGTGGGAACAATCAAGACTAATTAAGAGAGAACTGCCACCTGAGTTCATCAAAACCAAGCAAAGAAGCCTAATGACTACCATTTTTGGTTTTCAACCCAGTATCACCATAGCTTCATTTGTGCCCCAAAATATCATGATTTCCACATTACATCATGATGATAATGTAGATGAGAAAACATTTAAGCCCAAAATCATTGTTTTACAACCAAACCAAAGGTGGGGTTGCTGTAGTCAACGGAATGTCTGGGGTCTGTATAACCCCACCTTACCACTTTTGTTACATTTTCGCACCTCATCAGTGCCGGGTTAATATCTGAGATTTAACTTCAGTAGAAGACATTCAAGAGGAATATGGATTGATTTAAACCAAATAATGTTTGATTCAATTCTGACAGTAACTTAATGTCTGTAGGTCACCAAAATAATGGGCAGTCATTCTGAAACTCTTTTGTGTTTTGTGTTTCAGTCTGCTACCAACATTGCCATTTCTGCTAAGTGCACATCAGTCAAGAAAAAAGAAAATAATAAACTAGCAAAATGGGCCCTGAAGGAAATTAATAACAGGCAAGTATCACAGCAGTACCTTTCATTGTCATGAATCAAGATAGCTCTGTTTGTATAGAAACTAGGCTATGGGCTGAATGACCGAGGAGTCAGGATTCAGTTGTCATAAGGGACAAGAGATATTTCTGTTCTCTCTGAAGTCCAAATTTACTCCAGAACCCACCCATTCTCCTCTCCCATGGGTATTGGGGGCTGTTTACCCAGGGGTGTGAATCTGACCACACCTCCATCTAGTGCCAGAGTTAAGAATGGTGAACTGTACATCTCCATGGTGTGGTGCTTAATTAATTAAGTTCAGGGACGACTTTACCTTAACCTCTCATTTTCATGAACATAAATCTGCTTTTTACCTCATTTTATTGTCTGTAAAATTATGAGATGTTTCAGCCAGAACCAGTCTGTTTACCATGTCAGACTTGGTGTCACTGGATATGCAGGTTCTTGCATGTGTAAGGTTGGTGGGCATGATATGACAAGGATTAACCCTCCTATTTAAGACTTCTTCAAATAGCACTCTGTGTGCCCTTGCAGCGACATTTAGATGGCATGACATCTGTGCTGCTGCTGCAGTGTTACCTTATTTTTGGATCTGTGGTGAAAAATGCATTCATTGGTTAAAGAAAGACCACAGAAGAGTACAGAGCTGACAAAATGAAATATTAGCACAATATAATTATGACTTTCAAAATGTATCAGAAACAAGCAGCAACTAATTCTTGGAAACATTAGTCGACAGTGGATTAGGAAGCATTTGCTTGACTGTCACTAACAAGAACAGTCTCTGCATATCCTCAGGGACTGGTAAGTGTCCTGAATAATTCACAGAATTTGAGGTTTTCATAGCAGTGAAGATCTGTATTGCATATTCCTGAGCAGGCAGTCTGGTAGATGGTTACCATCATTTTGGAGTAACATAGTTCTTCCATCTTCAGGTACCTCTATGCTGAAGGTGGAGGCTATATGTTGACTATACTTTGTCTTAACCCAAAAGAATGCAGTATGATTCAGAGAAGGGCATTGTATTCTAGGATGTAATACCATGCAGTCTGGTAGGCATGTACCAATATTTCAGAGGTTTTCTGTACATGGTTCATTCTGCTAGCTGCTTCTTACTGATTACTTGACTTACTCTTAGACCCTGAAGATGGAAACAGTTCATTCCTCTGAAATGTCACTGGAGTCTATCAGACTACACATAGCCTCCAAGAAGATAGTACTGTTCATAGTGACCATTGTAAGAACCAAATCAGCTTATTTAGGAGAGTTAAAACTTTGTCGTCAGTATGTATATCAGAGGCATGAGTTCCGTAGGATTATGAGGGGCAACGGAAATCACACGCTTAGCATCTTCAAGACACAGACCATGAAAGCTTTCTGTCCACTTGTTGAAACTGTATTATTTTTTGTTGACAGATACGAAGAGCAGTGTGGGAAATCAAATGAGGTGGCAGCACTGGAGGGTCTGATGAACTCATTGCAGATTTCACCAATTGCTTAGCCTGCCTAATGATGAAACCAATGTAAACATGCTCAGTGAGCTCCAAAATTGTATACAGGAGTGCCGCATGCATAATACGGCAAAAGTCTCTGTGAATATACCTTCAGCATTTAAACATCCTTAAGTTGAAAATATTCAGCTAAATTTTTGTAACATTGTGAGGCTCAGCTTACAACCTCTCAATTGGATAGCAAGTTACAAATATATCAAAGCACAGCTTGGACTGTGAGTCAAAATCCTTTTTATTTAGATCACAGAAACACTGCAGTAACACAATGTATAAAGTAGACTCTAATAATGAGATATGAAATGTTATAATTTTCAGTCAGGTGTCTGAATTTCCCACAGTAACTGTTTGTTGAATTGCCAAAAAAATATGTTTCACTTGTCCATATTTTAAAGCGTAAACATTCTTCAGTTGGTAAACAATTTCCCATTATGGTGCTGAGGTATATGAACTTTCTGTTATGTCGTCATTTAAAATCTCATACTCAGAACTTAGATAAGGGTGCATCACATAGATTAATCAACAGAGTTTCAAGGACAAGTGATGGTTTTAAAAATTAAAAACTTATAAATTACATTCATAAATATACATACAGTGAAAATAAATATATAAAATGTTTGAAACTACATTTTGTATTCTGGAGTTACAAAGTAAAGAATTTTAACCAGTCGATTAATTGAAGAATCATAATTTAAAGAATGAATTCTTAAGACTAATAATGTTTTAAATATTCTGATATGTGGAGATGAAGTCCTGTAATAGCCAACTTGGAAGAAGGATATTGATAATGAATGATCTGCATTGACTAAAAATCATATGAGATTTAATGTTCTAATGGTAGTGAATATCAAAGTTCACAGCCTTCTTCTATACGATATATGAGTATTCAGGTAACACTCTTTCAGTGGAACCTGCTGCCTTCATCTTCAGAGTAGAAGGTAAGAAGATGAATCCAGCACATTCCTATGAAAAGCTGGTACCAGACTGTACAATGTCATATAAAATTTGAGGTTCTCACAGCAATGACTGTGAATGCAGCTGTCTTCTGGGATATGATGCCACATAATCTGATTGTTTATTGATGTTTCTGAGGACTGTCCTGAACTGGCCATATAAGTGCCACTGTCCCCTTCACTCTTCTTCTATTGGTTCATTTATATTTCCATTAAGGTTGCTTTGTTTTTTTTTTTTTTGTGCGCACGCATTGATTTTTGTTTTCATCATATGTTCTGGCACATACCATATTATTTTGAATATAAGAAGCCCTCAACTTTAAGACATCCAGTTTTTGAATGTGGATTGTAAGAAAAAAAAAACAGAAAGGTGCATATTCCTCAAATTTAAGGTGCACCTCAATTTTTCAACACGATAAATGCAAAAATGTGCGTCTTATATTCAAAGTAATACAGTATCTGTGCCCCCTTTTTCCACGCTCAGCGTACTCTTCATGTCTGACGATGGAGACAGAACACTCCTCCTGATGTCAGTAAATATCTACTAGACTAAACATTACTGAGCAGATTGGCATAGATGTAACACTTTAGACCAGTGTTTCTCAACTGCCAGGCCCTGACATCAATTCTACTGGGCCCTCATCTTATAGAAAACAGAATTTACTGGGCTGCGGTCTGACAAAAGTTGAGAACCACTGCTTTAGACTCATGTTCAGGAGGTGCTCAGTTTGAATCTTGACTGGGATATAAACTATCATGATTGAGGTTTTCATGGTTTTCCAGGCAAATTCCAGGATAGTACCTCAATTTCACCACAACCACTTCCTTCCAACTACTTTCTAATTCATCTGTCATATTACCATTTAGTGCTATAGTCTCAGTACTGATACTGTCATAAAATGACTAAAAGAAAGTTAATACAAGGGTATCACATCCCAGAATAATAGTACTCTCCATGTATCGTACAGGAATTTTCTGAATTAATCAATAATCCATTCCATGGTTAAGTGAGACACATACCTGTCTGAGATGCAGAGATGTGTTGCATGCCTGAAAGGGTGATTTTAGTCCCAAATCACCTAACTCTACTGGTACAACGAAAGCTGTGGTGAGGAAGCTGCTGGAAGTAGCAGACAGCTTGTCTGGGTGGAGATGCAATTCCTCGTATTACCATGGTAGCTAAACAGGCTTCACAAGAATTCTGACAGGAAGCCAGCTGAGAAATAGGCGTATGATTTTGGGCATCAGTTATGTTTCTCTGTACAGCATCTTTGTGTATACTGTCCAAGAACTTGTGGCTTGTGCCTCCATGAAAGTTTCTGTAAATGAGGAAGGAAAGCGTGAAGATACTAGACTGCAGTGTCCCTCCGTGTGCTCCTTTAATATCTCTTCTGAAAACAATGTTACACGAGATCCTATGGGCTACCACTTAGTGATGTATTCAGAAAGAATGAAGTAAGAAAAAATAGCAATATATGGTTTCTCAAACTTCGGGTCACAAACCACCTACCATGAGTTGCAATCTGCTCTAAGGGGAATCTTGAGTTCTATTTAAAATATGGTTGTATGCCTGTACAAGTCTGGCGAGTCGTGTTACTTTACTTACTTATTTACTCATGGAGCTGAACCCTTCTGGAGGAGCCGCCAATTCTGCAGCTACTCATGAACCCGAAGGTTCATTACAAGAGCCCTCCACTGGTCCCTATCCTGAGCCAGATCTATCCAATCCATACCATCCCTTCCTCTCTCTCTCTCTAAGATCCATTCTAATATTGTCTACCCACCTACACCTTGGTCTTCCCTGTGGTCTCTTTCCTTCTGGCTTTCCCACCAATATCCTATATGCATTCCTTGTCTCCCCCATTCATGCTACATGACCTGCTCATACAGAACATTATAGAGAAGTTCATTTTCCATTTTCAAGTACCAGAATATATTTATGCATATCAGCCATGAGTTCTTGGCCATGCTGTACCAGCAATGAAAGATTATTTGAATTCTGCTAAATTCTATGGGAAAGTTTGGTGTAATTTGTCCCAGACCTTTTCAACAAAATCCAATATTGAATGGACCAGGATGTGGCCTATTTAACATTCATATGTATACAGAAGGTAGTACATTAGTCTTGCATCATGTGTTAGCAATAACTATTACTGTAACTATTTTTTCAAGATTATAAAAGACAAAATATAAAATGAATTTCTATGTTCAAATTATTCATATTTAAAGATATGGTTATGTTTATTTTGTTGTTGAGTTATTCAGGTTATATTATATTTAATTAATTTATTTCCAACTGCAACGATGTGCCATCATGGTTCAGTTCAAAATACTGGTGAATGGTATAAACATTGCAGAAACTGTGTAAATGTATGAATTTGTTCAATATAAATGTCATTCAACATGGTTACTTTCTTACAGCTTACCTGAATCCTTCCATGCTGCCTGTACACACATCTCGCTCCTTATTCCATGAAAATACAGTTACTGATCTGTGTTAGCAAACTTTCCTCCGAAGTCCGAAGTTTATCTAAATAATAAACAGAGTGTCCTGTGGCATCATTGTAACTTCAGGAAGCGATTCTTGTGGTCATTTTGAGTGAAAAAAAAGTTATATCAACATGGTTCACAGATGTCTGAAATGTAGCTTCACTTGAAGCAGTATGATAATGAGGAAATGAAATGTTCATGAGAAAAAACAGAATGATAACACTTTAGTTAGGTAGCTCAGTGTAAGTGTGCAATATGTTTGCCATCAGGTCTGATGCATGGCCTTCTTAATTTCATTAGGGAAGATGTAACCTTACAGAGAATTGCAACATCATTAATATGTCATGCTGCATCATAAATCTGGTTAAGTAGTTCATCTGTGTTATATTTTAGCATCCTGTTACACTGATTCATGTCCATGAGTACAACGCATACAGTAAAAGGAGCAAAACAACACAGAACATGATACACAAATGTATGTAGGAAGAATGCTCACATAAAAGAGGATTGGCATAATTCGCGTGTTTGAGTGTGACATAGGATGAATCCTGAAGTTTTATTATTTAGAATTCATCAACATATATGATGAATATAGATTTTAATCATTTTAGAATGAAGACATCATGGCATGCAGTACAATAGTTTAACGTGCATAAAGACACCTGAGGATGGCACATTAGTGCTGAAACATGTAGTGTGGAAGTGAAGAATAAGGTGAAAAAGTGTATACACTGTAAGACGGTTAGCATAAACCATGGACAGTTCATCTGTTGTGTCCACTTTGCATTCATAGTCCACATTCTTCGTGTGAACCCATACATGCTAGTCTATGGGTCCAAGATCCAGTGAATGCTGTGGCAAACCTGACTATACCGCTAGCTCGGGTATTGGCTTACATAAACATTTCATGTCTGCTGTGCACACACTCATAGCTCCAAAAATGTTAAGAACAGGACCCATGTTGATGTAACATACTTCACTCAGAATGACCTCAGAAATCACCTTCTGAAGGTATGACCTGAAGTCACACAATGTACATATAAAGAATTCAGTTCCTGTCCCAGAGGAAACACTGCATCTACACCTCAAAGACCAACATTCAGTTGTTTAGAGAAACAATCGCTGTTTACCGTGAGAATCATACAAGACACATAAATATATTGTGCAGGCAGAATGAAGAGATCTTCATTTTAAAGCAAGTGATGTGTACAGCCATTGCTATAGTGTAAAGGGCTAAGTGTATATTTCCACCTAAACAGTACACAATATGCTAAAGAGGAACAAATATCTTTAATTAAACCTTTATTTGCTGTGCATTACATCACTGCGACAGTACATGCACACCAGTCCAGCTGGCTGAGCACTACATTTTATAACAGGACGCTAAAATATAACATTACATTTTATAAATACTAATACTGAAGTGTAATGTCTTCTAGGGTGTTACGCCATGTAGTCTGGTAAAAGTTTCCTGACATTTTGGAAGAATGTATTACCTCCATTTTCAAGGTCAACATTAAGCTAAACAAGAACCCAAGCAGAGGCTTGTTTCACCCTTCACAAAAGTACTGGTGAGCCGTGACTACCACGTAACCTGCAGAGATTATTTCAATCAAAATTTTCAGATCCAACTGAAGTAAGTTCATATATAGTCAACTAGAAGCCAGATTTAAGAACTGATTAATCCTATCTAAAATACAATTTTTTACACTACTGAGGTCAAATTCAGAGATATTTTCAGGTTTAGTGGATAAAATATGTATTAAGTTTAAAGTTTGGAACCACATCTCATGCAAAGTTTTGACATGTAGTTTGAAAATCCATACATCTGTAATTATATGCCTTTGAACCTAAAGTGGGTCATTCAGATCTCTCAACTAATTTGCTATAAACTGATTCAGTCACACACTGGATGTTCTCCATCATCTAATTTTGGTGCAAGAAACAAGTTTGGAACCTGGCTCTGCTACTGTCATCAAGTAAGAAGTAAAGCTATCCCTGTAACAGGCTGTGAAGGCCCATAGGGTTGTGAGCCGTTGAGACTCCCACATTTTCTCTAGATTGTCTGCTCACAGATGGCAGTAAGATTGTCAGCCTTATGTGTCAGCCACCATTTAACACCCTGCAAGATTCCTGGTACTCATTTCTGTTAGAGGCTGAGTCGACCCTGGGGCCACAGTGCAGCTGGAAGGTTCAGGTAAATTGAAAAAATCCACCTCACTGGGACTCAAACCAGCAACCTTCCGGCTTGGCAGCACAGTGCCTCAACCAAGTACACTACCGCATGCCCCTACTGTCATCAAGTAAACATGGGAGACCCACTCTGCTGGGTCCATCAGATGGAGCCAATGTCTCCACAGACTGAAACAAAACAATGCTTCTGAAGTGTTTCTCTTGTCACACCAAAAAAAAAAAAGAGAGAGCGAGAATGACCCAACATATGCACCAGTTTAATAACATACCTTTGTCACATACTTTCTACTAACTGCACCCATGGATCTGAGTCCTTCTTGAGAAGCTAATAGTTGCTTAGCTAGTCAGGAAATTCCCCACCTTTCATAGAAGCCGAAGGTTCATTACTATGCTCACAAGAACCCACCACTGGTCCCTATTCTGAGCCAGATTAATCCAGTCCACACCCTCAACCTCCCATACTATTTTTTAAGATCCTTTTAACAATATCCTCACATCTATGACTAGTTCTTCCTAGTCATCCATCCCCTTCAAGTGTTCCTACCAAACCCTCTGTGTGCACTGCTCTTCACTTCCATGCATGTTACATGTCCTTCCCATTCCATCCTCCTTGATTTAATCACCCTAATAGTACTTGGTGAAGAATGCAGCCATCTTGCAATTTTCTCCACATTCCTGTTACTTCCTCAGGCCTCAGCCTGTGTTCACCAACAGCAACAATAAACCTTGAAGACTTTATTTCTTACAGCTACAAAAAACAAAATAAATACAGTGCTCACATGAAAGAGGAAGTTGGGCCTAAACCTGAGACATCTACTGTCATCTTTCTGAACTACTGCTGTCTCTGTCCTCAAGTTGAGCTCTACAATTTGCTTCCTTCTCCTCCCTCTGCCTGTAAGCTTGTGTTGCCAACATTTTGCGAAGTTTCCTTTTCTTCCGCTGCTCTTCTCCATATTGGAAAAACTTGGCACGGAAATCTCCCATCAGACTGTTCACATCTGAACCAGTATATTTCTCCTATAAATGAGGACACACATAGAAGCATTGACTTATGCAGTTCTAGTGATCTCACTCAAGACACTCCTGGCATAGAAGAAATGGCAAACCACATCCAAAGAAATAATCAGTAAAAGTAAAAGTAAAAAGTAAAGCTATCCCTGTAACAGGCTGTGGAGGCCCATAGGGTTGTGAGATGTTGAGGGTCCCACACTATCTAGACAATCGGCTCAAAGATGGCGGTAAGGTTGTCAGCCCTATGCGCCGGCCGGCGCTTTACTCCCCAGGAAAATTATTTATTTAATTCCTGGTACTCATTTCTGTTAGAGGCTGAGTGAACCCCAGGGCCATAGTGCGGCCGAAAAAATAATCAGTACAAAATAATAATTAATGTATGTTCTAAAATGTGTCCAATCATGTGTGAGGTTGCATCATCAGATAGTAGCACAGATAATCACAGAACCATCAGAAATTTACTAGATTCTATACTCAGTACTTGGTAGGAACCAAAACTATCATACCAGAGGTCTCACTCAAACACACAACACTTTTCGTACATAAGGCTGCCTACTCAAGAAATGTTTTATTCTGGGAATAAATTAAATTTCTCCTCCATTATCCTATGCACAGCCTATGTACATTCAGGACACACAGTATAAGAACAGGAAGACCATCTTGTATGCTGAGTGGAAGCACAGACCACACTGGTCCACCTCAGGTGACCAATATATTTGCCTGGCTACCAATTTCAAAAACATTTTTGACCCCTGACAGTTCTATAGGTTAATATGAAACCTGCAAATTTGGAGGAAGTTTTCTCCTCATCACTGCTCTGCATCTTGGCACAGATTATGGCAAAGAAATTTGTGCTGGTTGAAACATAAATTTCCTGTGCCTCTGTTATGCAATATAGTTAAATTAATGGAAAATACAACAATTCTAGTTTGCATATTGCAGTATTCTTGAAACAAAATTACTGTCTGATGAAAAATTTGAACCAGCAGTTTACCCAATTGGCAAGAAATGCCATACATTAATGCTGCCATCTACCACTGTGGTGTGCTGAGCATTGCACAGAGATGACTCTCCTGTTTTGTGCTTTCATATCATGAATAATACTTCAGTTACTTGAAATATGCTTCCATATCCTTTAAGATGAAGGTCCATGTGCGCGTGTGTATGCATGTATTGTTGCATATATCCATTTTTAATTTAGTAAATGATTTTGGAAATTTGTTGATTGTAAATCAGCTGTTGGCCAGTCATGGTAGCCGAGCGGTCTAAGGCATGCACTGTCTTTGCTCGCTCGGAAGCCGGGATCATGGGTTCGAATCCCACTCAGGGCATGGATGTTTGTGTGCATTTTTCTGTGTTTGTGTACAGGTAAAGGCTTTGCGACAAGCTGATCATCCGCCCAAGAAGTCCTACTGTATGTCTAAGATCTAGAAAAACTGAAATGAACGGAGAAGTTCATGGAGGTAGGCCTAGGCCCACTGGGGTTGTAGCGGCAAGAAAAAAAAAATCAGCTGTTGACAGACATGACAATGACTAGTAAATTTCTATTACATGTGAATCATCATCATCATCATCATCAATGGCACANTACCACTCGTAAACTCTTGTTTTACTCATAACAGACTCACCATAGGCCTTTGTTAACATTTCACACACTTTGTAACACTTTATTTCATTTTTTACGCAAAATTTGATACAAATTCTTTGATCCATTTCTTTTAACAAACGAAAATCGCCAAGCTCATAAAAACACGTCTAACCTTAGCGGCTGCCACAGACAAAGTAAGCAATGAATACAGCTGAAAATTTTATTGTACTTCAGGGGCATGTATACCAACATAATAAAAAAAAAATTTTGACAATTGGACTCTCCAAACCCGCGAAATTTTAAAATTCCCGTTATTTCCTGAACACACCTCGTATCTCAAGATCCTCCTTTCAAATATACTTAACAGTCTTACTACATGTGAATACTGAAGATATTATAGGTGAATCTTTTTCTGACTCTGAAGACAGTAATTTTGATTCTGATGGCAGGAAAGTGAAGGAGTTATGACTAGTTCTGGAGTTATAACATGCTACTTACTCCTGTCATTACCTCTCACATACATACCAGAGAACAGCTGTCAGAAATTTGTATGTGATTTTTGACAACCAGCTGTGTCATGACTCATCAAAACTGACTGTAACAATGAAATGGTTAAACACATGCATGAAGTGAGAAGTAAGAAATTTGAAACCTTATCTGCTATTTTCACTTATGCTGCACTCTACCTGTGGTTCGTGAAGTTTCTCCAGAGTAAGGAGACGTCGACTGGTGAACTTTGTGAGAACTTGTTCACAGTTTGCCACAAGCTGAAAACATGGATGCATAGGCAGCCTGTCTTCACTGTAGTCACGTCTGAAAAGAAACACAGCACAGGTCATCATAGTTTTCCTCAATCCCTACACATAAACTGCACTCAGATTATGTCTTAATTAGGTCACTACCCTTCCAGCCTGTCTGTTTTGAATCCTCAACCAACTGATACCATCATGCCCCTCACCATTTGATAGCAGCATTAAAAATCCCAAAATCAAACATACAATGTGACAGAACTCCTGGTTGTTTATTTCCTAGATTAATAAATTATGCTTTTTCAACTGCATGTTTTTTTTTAATTCGCTTAGTGGGGGGTGGAGTCCAACTGAGTCCTCTCGGCATGGTGGCCGCTGACTAACCTATTGTAGACTGCCCCGGGTGAATAAGATGATGGAGAATTTGGTGGAATGAAGATTGGCAGGGGAAACCGAAGTACTCAGAGAAAACCCACCCCAGTGCCACTTTGTCCACCACAAATCCCACTTGACCATACCCGGGATCAAACCCAGGCCGCCATGGTGGGAAGCCAGCAACTAGCGCTTGAGCTATGGTGTGGCCTAACTGCATATGTTACAAGCAAAATGCATTAGAATTACAAGATGATTAAAACATTATGACTTGGGAAGGATGTAGAAGAAAGTCCATCTTTAGCCACTTAAAACATAGTGGTAACCATATGTACCACCTGTATTAAGATTCAAAAACTCAGCATTTTCCTACATTATGTATTTATGGATTTAATATGATTCCTGCAATAAGTACCATCTGTTTCCCTAAGCAGCATTAATCAACTGGGCTCTGTAATGGAGATGCAGTGTTTTTTGTTAGTAGAAACTGAATTTTGAACTACATGCTTCAAAAAGGTCAAGCTGCCATCACAATCAGGTGACCCAAGGACTCAAGGGAAACCATGATAGATCTTTCTCAGGATGACCAGCCTTGGAATCTCAGGACAGCTGATCATCTAACTGAGATTCAATTTTAAAACTTTTGATACATGAAGACAGAATGCTAACCATGTTACTTTGTTCCCCGGCTCTACAGCTCTCTATGGACCTTGGCTTCCTTCACAAGAAAAACCCATTCTTCTTTATATTTGACTTCACCTCTTCGCTTTCACTTTCACTCTGCGCCTTTCAGGCACACCAATCTGCTTTCCCACTTGTTAGGCACTACATACTTCATCTAATTAGTAGTTTTTGGTTCTGATCCTCATACAAGGAACACACATACATGATATATTTCACAGTCTGTTGCAACAGATAAGAGCTGCAAATACTAAACGTGCTCTTTCAGTAAGAAACTGAAACGTGAAACGACGGGCAAAAACGTAGCTGCATGGAGACTGGTCAGATCAACTGGGTATCTTAAAGGAAAGAGGGGCACACACACAGAGGAGGCATATAATTTTGGACAGGGGTCTGCTTACCCTGATCCTCTTAGGAAAGTGTAGGTGAAATACCATGATTTTGGAACTGCTTGTTTACAGACATCTTGTGGCTGCTTTTCTTACCGAACTACAGGAATCCAACACACAAGTCTGCCCCCCATCTTGAGGTGCTGAGCTGCGAACTGGAACAGATCTTGATAGATCTGATGCAGACCATACTCCACTTTTGAGGGGATGTGCCCCTCCAGATGATGGTTACTGATCTGGTAATTCTTTGTGGTTCCTATGCGTTCAGTCGCTTCTCTGATTCCATATGGCGCTGAAAGACAGCCAACATACCACCTTGGTATAATCCTGTGTGTCGAACTAAGAATGCCAAACAAGGTGATAACGGAATAATTATTCAGAGCAAAGATTAAATGATTATATTTTCATGCTTGTACTTTATTTCTGTCACAGATGTTAGTTGCTGATGATTTTTATGGATAGCTAACATCTTAAGCATCCTCTGGTAATTATTTCCACAGAACACTGCCCTTCAGCCTCATTCATTAAGGAAACTGATGTGCAAGCTTCAGGTGTAGAGCGTGTCTCTACATCTGCCAAGTGTTCTGCCTCTCTTTACATGATTTGTCCAACTTCTATATAAATTATATCTGTTTGTGAACCATACTTACGGTCTGTAATGATGCAATCCAGTTTGAAAGATGGGCGCCAGAGAGGCAAAGATGCATCCGCCACAATGACGTCCAGGTATTGGCTGCCTTTTCCATATTGCAGCATATTGGAGCATATACTTTCATCCTTATCCCGTTCTTTCTACAACAAAAGAAGTGTGTCAATATGTCACCAAAACACAGATTCTCAGAGCAATACAAGATTCAACTCTGTTTTCTGGATGTAAGAGACAGGCGTGACTGAGTCCCTCAGTTCTGCAGCCTCAACTGGGACCACTGGGGTGAGAATGAATCCCTTGGTACTGCAGCCTCAACTGGGACCACTGGGGACAGAACGAATCCCTTGGTACTGCAGCTTCAAATAAGACCACTGGGGAGAGAATGAATCCCTTGGTACAGAAGCCTCAACTGGGACCACTGAGGCCGCTTCCATGAGAATGGATCCCTTGGTACTGCAGCCTCAACTGGGACCACTGGGGAGAGAATGAACCCCTTGGTACTAGAGTTTCAAATGGGCCTACTGTAGCAGTCATGTCAGACTGAGTTCCTTGGTACTGTGACTATACACAGGATTGTAAATAGTGGAAGATGTAGACAGACACTGTTTACTTAGTTCCAAAGCAATTTTCATTAAAAAAACCTACTTCCAGAACCTCAAGATGCCACAGCTGTCTATCAATGACACATGTTGAAACAACTTTCCACGCTTGCACTGTAATAATTTTATTTATAGAATATATACTGGTCAGATTTGTCATGGGCTCCAATGAGGGTCCAGTAAGGGCAAGACTATAAATAACCTGACTATCAAGAACTGGATAGGCTATCAAAGTCGGGAGCCAGTACAGGAGGCTCTTTTCTATGGAACTGATGCCTTGACAGCAGCTTGGTTGTGAGTCCAACTGTCCCTGTCTGTGAATGACAGCAGGTGACTGTAGACGTCCCACTGTCAGCATTCCAAGAGAAGATCTGCCTTTGGCATTGCAGGGCTCAGTTATTGGCCTCTGCTGCCAAGCGCAAGAAGCCATCTCCCAGAAGATTTCATAAGGGGCCCACAACAGTAAAATTGAATTTCTCCTGAAGAGAGTGAACACTCTGACCAGCAGAAGAGGCTGATCAAGAAGAAGCCCCTTCCGGGTGACAGTGAAGACTTGGCTAGGAGCTCAGTTGCAGATCCAGCTGGGACCAGTCATGGTGACCCTAATGTCTGTCAGGGAATGACATACGTTTCTGGGATGTTCTGCTGCCAGCAGCCCTATATCCAAATTGGCTGGGCATGCATCTGTAACCTTCAGCTCTGCATGGGTACAGCCAATGGATACTGAGACAGCCTCAGTGTGTAGGGTTTTGGCTCCAGCTAAGGTAGAGGCTCTTAAAGAGTCCAACAGCTCAAACAACACTGTGGACAAACAATGTACTCAACAGAGGTCTCAATGCTTAGTGGGCAGCTATCAGTACAATACACTGGCCATTCTCACAGGTTTTTATACTGATCTGCAGCATCTACCTAGTACCAAAAGATCATTTTCACTCCTGGCTATATAACATCTATAGTATGATAATTAGTGGATAATGAGTTGGAAAGAATGTACAAAGAAGTGTTCATGGTGTAATCTGAGATACTATCCTGGCATCTGCCTGGCAAGACTGAGCAAGTTCACAAAAAAAAAGTCAACCAGCAGAGCCAGTGTCTCAGCTGAAATCCAAACTGGAGACCTCCTGAATATGAGCAGGAAGCTTTACGGCAGTGACACCTTATATGCCACAAATCTCACATGTACTACACTGGGACTGAACCCAGGCCTGAATGGTAAGAAGCCAATGACTAACCACCTGAGCTATTGCACAGCCCAAGATGCAACCCTTGTGAACCTCCTCAACCAAGATCCTGATTCCAACTCAGCTGTACAAGATAGCCTTACCTTTGGCTGTATTCTTGTTGGGCGAGTCTTGCCATGTAACATCAAGAAATCAATGTCTGATCCCAGGACATAGCCTCCAAAATGGGAAGCCGCAACCAGCAGTGAACCTTCATATTAATAAAATAAAATATAATTAACATATAACATGTTCGGATATGCCAAATTGTACATTTTAAGTTGACTTATAGTTTGGAGAAACCTGACTTAGTTCAAAACAGTTTTAAAGAAATGGAATTCAGTTGCCACAAATGATATAGTCATTAACACTGATGTGAAAACAAATCAGAACATCATAAAGAGAACTGAAGCAGCCTTTACAGTGGAATCTCGCTTAACGAGCATAATTTGTTCCCAAATTACTCGTTATGAGAGGTGCTTGTTAAGCGAGGTTCCACTGTATTTATGAATGTATTTATTACCATAATAATTTTTAGTACACTTGTGAGAGAAGTTATTTATTCCATTTATTGTTCATGCATGTTAGATGTTTTTATAGTTTTTCTTTTGACGTGTGAGTGGTGTAACATACATTATTTGATATTGTATTGTTCACTGATAATATCCATTCATATGCATTGTTTTTATAAACTGGATGAATTTTATAAGATAAAAGGTTAGTATGTCTTCATCTAGTATTTAAGTCTTGTAGTCACATTGTCTATGTTTTATAGTATGTTATTTTGATTTGTTCCAGTGATTGGTTGGAACATTTGTTTTGATTTTTGATGCATTCTATATCCAGTGGTGTGACAACTTGTTTCTCGCTCTGTAATTGGATCTACTTGAATATAAGAATAAATTATTATTATTATTATTATTATTATTATTGTTGTTATTATTATTGAATTGAATTGAA